GGCAGGAACCCGTCCACAGCCACGGGTACCCAGCTCCACACATCTGGCTCCTCTGGCCTCTCAGCCTTGGCCTCGGTCCAGCTGACATCTTCATTGTGCTCCACGGTGACAAGGAAGCCCTTGGAGCTGCATGTGGAACGTGGGGACTCTGGGAGTCTCTGTCTCTCTGTCTCTGTCTCTGTCTCTGTCTCTCTCTTTTGAGACAGAGTCTCACCATGTAGCTCAGGCTGGCCTCAAACTCAAAGTGATCCTCCTGCTTCAGACACCCACTGTGCACATCTTTCCCACTTGGCTTTTGCTTTTACTTGTTAGGAAGTAGATGAGGTTGATCCCTGGCTTGGGAAGCAGTGGTGTGTGCTTTTTCATCACTGCATAGTACTCCGCCACACAAGTGTGTACTATATTTAACCTGCGCCGGAGGGATGTCTGAGTTCTTCCAGTATGTGCTGCAATGAACAGAGATATTAGGATGTGGTTTTGGCTGACAAGTGTTGAATTTCTGCCTTGGACAATCAGGAGCTCAGGTCCCAGGATATTCATTCTCTATAGGTGACATTCTCAAGAGTAAAAGATGGGGTGGCTTTGGGGGTGGGAACACCCTCGGGAATGGAGTGCAGCCTGCAGGGTGGAAGTTGGGGTATATGGGGTGGATGTCTGGGCTCTCGGGTCTGTGCACCCCCAGGAGCTTTGCTGTCAGCCCAATCCTGCAGAGTTTCGCCTCTGACAGGGACATGGTCCCACCCCTTCGTGCACTGTGCATGCCCAACAGTGAGGGGCAGAGCTGGGCATCTGGAGCGATAGATCGTCCCACTCCCAGCCTCCCTCTTGCTGCAGATGTTTCGTGAATGTCTGGGTTAAGGGGCTGTAGGAATGGGCGCTTCTGTTTTTCTAATTCTGTCGACCACGAGGGCCGGTTGAGGTCATGCACACCTGTGATCCCAGCCCTGGGGAGGCCGAGACAGGAGGCCGAGGCAGTAAGATCGCTGTGAGTTCATGGACAGCCTGAATTGCATAGCAAAACCCTGTTTCAAAAAACCAAACCAAAAGAACAAAAACCTCATGAGGGTTCAGGCACCTGGGCCGTTGGTAGCTTTGTGCGTGTCCCCCACTTCGGAGTGCCTCCATAGCTGCTTTCAGGAGCGCAAAGGCGACGCCCCTTCTTGCCAGGGTCCCCCAGAGGCGTGCTGGTGGCCCGTGAGGGGTCACAGTGTAATCAACTCACCATTCTGGAATAAGATCACAGCTGAAGGGCCGGCCAGATAGCTCGGTGGATTAAAGCGCCAGCTTAGGCAGACGCAGGGACCAGGTCCCATCTCCTGCTCCGCTTGCCATGCCGCCCCCCCACCCAGGGCTCGCTGATGCTGCGATTGAGACTGGGCGTGGGGGCGCACGCCCGTAATCCCAGCATTTAGGAGGCTGAAAACAGAAGGATCACTACGAGTCCAAGCTGTGTAGTGAGACCCTGTAGACGTTGTCCTAAATACAAAATAAATAAATATAACAGCTGGGTACCAGTCTCCTGGGATAGAAGCCAGGCCGGACCTGGAGACCCTGTGGTTGAGGCTGAGCAGGACTCAGACCCCAACACATCCCCAGCCTCTCACCGGAAATGCAGCCTGGGGCTCCTGTAGTCCCCTGGGGAAAGTGGGAGCCATAGATCCAGTTTCTACTGTGAAGAGCCTTGCCATCAGAGAGGATGCTGTTCCTCTCTTCATCACCATGGGGGGGGGGGACAGGGATGCCCCAGATACTTCTAAAATTTCAGGAGGCTCCCATGGTGTCCCTCCCAAGAATCACCCCAAGCCCTCTCCCTGGCTACACAGCTTGGTCTTTCCATGTGCTTTGCATGCTGTTTGCCCAGAACCATAGAGGCAGCTTTGCTTTCTCAGGAGCCTGGAAACCACAGGTCTTTCTTTATCTCAGTTCATTTTCCTTTCATTTGTGCTAGGTTCTTACCTCCAGACCCCTCCCCAAACTCCTACTCCTACTTCAAAACCCACTGCAGATTTTCCATGTTCAGCGAAGCACCAGGGTAACTTTTGGTTCTTTCCTGTCCTCTGCTCCAACTCCTGAGCCCCACGTGGAAGTGTCAGTGTTCGAACTCCATCCGCTGGTGTTGGATCTTTAAAGTACTCAACATTGGGGCACACCAGAGAGGATGTCGAGTTAGTGTAAAAAACAAGGGAGGGGGAAGGAAAAGATGCAGCCATGGAGAGCTGGTGGAGGTGGACGACGAGGGAGGGCGCTCGGCAGAGACCTGGTGGGACAGATGGAGAGAGGGAGCCGGAAGGAGGTGGGCAGGGCCAGATGGGCGGGCAAGGGCGACAGGAGGGTGGGGTGTGGGGAGACCCAGCTCCCTGCCTGGCGCCTCCTCCCGGCCCGGCGTGTGCGCGCCCGTGCGCCCAGGCGGCGGCGGCACGTGGATGCCAGCCTGGCGCGGCGCAGCCGGTGGGTAAGGCGGGCGCAGGCAGGCGCCGGGCGTGGGGCGGAGATGGAGGGGCCACGGAACGCGGCAGAGGCTGGGGTCTGCCGAGGAGGGGGTCCCTACCGGCTTCCCTGGGCAGACCGAGCCCCGTTCCTCGGTCCCCAGCTGGCCCGGGATGGGGGAAGGGGCTTTGCAATCAGAGGCTGAAGGTCTCGGGTCCAGTGGTGGACGGTGCAGGGAGTGAAGGGTGGAGAGCAGGTACCCCAAATCCTGCGAACCTGGGAACGGGGTGTGGACGGAGGGGGCTGGGTGATGGGGGAGATTCTCTCCGTGTCCACCCCTCCCTCCTTCCCTCCCTCCCTCAGCTCATCCATCTCTAAAAGATTATATTTAAATATCTCTTTTATGCAAGGCAGGAGCTGGGCTCGCCCCTAAGAGGCGGTTTCCATGGCAACAACAATTGCCAGCTTCCGTGTGGTGAATCAGCGTTGCCATGGCAACCCCATCCTCCTCTGCCCAAGGTGCTGGGAAGGAGGAGGGGAAAGGAGGAGGTGAGGGCCAGCGGAGGCGGGAGGGGGCTGGTGGGAGAGAGGGAGGCTTGAGCTTGGGGGTTCCCCCTCCTGTCCCCTCTTCTTCTGGCCACCCCTGTCCCAGAAGCTGGTCCTATCCGGTTGGAGTAACCTCCCCTTCTGCCTCCAGTGCGCTGGGGTGTGGTACCCAGGGTGTGAGGAGCCTGGGTGTGGAGGGGTGGGTGGCGGGGCCGCGAGGCTGCTGGCCGGGTGGGGGAAGGGAGCGGTGGTGGGGATGTTGCCAGGTGGTCAGGATCCCGAGGAGGGCGTGGCTGGTGACACGAAGGTTGGTTGGGGAAGGCCGAGGGCTCTCTGGGATTTCCAAGGCTGAGTTCAAATGTAGGTAACCCCGAGTGGGTCCGGGACACACACTCAGACAGGAGGAAAGGACCGGAAGGGGGAGGGTTTAGAGAGGGGGAGGGGACAAGGGAAGGGGAGGGGCTGGGCAGGAGAGGGAGGGGTCGAGGGAGGGACCCCAGGTGAGGGTTGCTCAGAGGCCTTCAGAAGACTGCGGGATCTGAGAGAGGGGAAAGATTTCAGAGGCAGGAGATTTGGGGTTCACAGACAGGGAACAGGGGTGCGCTCTTGGGGCAGGTGGAAAGCTCCTGGGCCACAGTCCAGGAAGCCGAGGCAGCGTGTCCCTTCTTTCTGGGCCTCGATGGGCACATCTTAAGATGGGTGCAGGGCCCTGTCTTGGATCCCCGGACTGAGTGGATGTGGGGGGTGGAAACTGTTCTGCAGTAAGCTCGCCCAGGAGGGTCTGGGACAAATACTTGTTCCAACCAGGGTGCCTGTCTCTGGCCTGTTCACTTTTGATTTCTCCACATACCCTGCCCTGGATGGGACCATGCTATCCCCAGGGAGGAGAAAGACGAAGCAAGGTGCTGATGCTTCCAGCCCTGAGGTAGAAGCAATGCAGGATGCCTGCTGGGCAGGGGATTTTGAGCTGGGTTTTGAAGGATGTATAAGAGTTCAGGAGGCTCCAAAATGAGAGGATTCTATCCCAGGACTGTGGACAAGCAAAGGCCACCCTGCTCCCACACCCTTGAATCTGTTGTCAGATATCTCCTTTGGCTGATGTCAGCGCTGTGTGTGTGGCAGGATCATTTTTATTATTTTCAGGGTCTGAGGTGGGGGTTGGAGGAATTCAGAGCAGTGGTTCCTGATGGTTCATGATTTGTCCACTCAGGTATTTTACTCTCTCTGCTGGGAGCCGGCTAAAAGTAGCTGTCTGGATGTATCAGTCAGCTGCTGCCGAGTAGCAAGCTATCTTGGTAATTTTATCTGCTCGTGGTTGTATGGTGGGCTGATTTGATTTTTTTTTTTTTTTTTTTTTTTTTTTTTTTTTTGCGGAACCGGGGATTGAACTCAGGTCCTTGCGCTTGCCAGGCAAGTGCTTATTCCACTGAGCCTTCTCCCCGGCCCCACTGATTTGATTTGGACTCATCCCAGGGGTGAGTGATTTGCACTGGCTTCTCCTGGGGTTGAGTGTCACTCAGTAGCTCACATATGTCGAAGTGGAAGTCCCAGCATGCCAGGAAGGCAAAAGAAAGGCTCTGAATCCAGTCGACCACTTCGCTGTCACCTCATTTTGTTGGTTAGAAAAAGTCTAATGGTCAGGTCCAGTTCCAAGGCTGAGAAAATAGATTTCAGTTCTTGATGGAAGACAGCACAGAGTCACCTGACCTGTAGGACACTCAAGGAATTAGGCCATCTTTACAAACAATCTGTCACATTTAGGGAGGACAAGAAGACTTCCAGGAAGAAAGGATAATTGTCACTGGGTTTTGAAGGCTAACTAAGAGTTTGCCAGACATGTCCCACTTTCCAGGTGGGATCGTGAGTCTACTAGTTTGACTGGGGTCTTACAGGGTCCTGAGGCTAGTGGGTGGCGGCACCAGGGAAGGTGAGCAGGGGTATCGGGCTGAGCTGAGGCAGAGCCCCTGCCGGCGTTGCGGGGCCCCACAGGCCAAACCCTCACTCTCCCCTCCTGTCTCTCCTTACAGATGGCGCGGCCAATCCAGGTGAAGCCTGCCGATAGCGAGAGCCGCGGAGGTAGTTGTCATCTGTCCGTGGTCACCGGACATGGGGTTGGCGGCAGAAGCAGGGTGGAGGGGTGAGGGGAGGACAGTGGGGGAAACTCAGCTGGGTGGCACCAGAGGAACGGGGGATGGGGCTGCTGCCAGCCTGGAGGCTTCCCCGATTTACAGATGTCCTGCTCCTTTCAGAGCACAGTAATGGGGGTTCCTAGTGGGGTCCCTGCAGGGTAGAAAGAGTTCCCCAGATGTGCCTGTGTGCATGCTCATCCATCCATGCAGACCCTTGTCCAGATGTGTGCAAACCTGTGTTTCTGCAGCTGGCGTGCATGAGTCCTGGAGCTCAGCTCCGCAGCCGGGGCACCACCTGCGAGCAGGCCTGGCCTACGGAGGGCGGGGGTGGCGCCTGCTTGCGCATGTGTGCTTAGATGTCGTAGGTCTGGCATAGGCTTTTCCGCAAGTTGGAGCCACAGGGCCCTGCCTGGGCCAGAGCCTCAGTGTGAAGCGGGCCCATGAAGTTGTGTGTGTGTAAGGGGGACGCTCAGCTGCCTTTGGTGGGATCCAGAACTGATTATTCTTAACATTTTTATATTCTCTCTCTCCATCTTGGGGGAAAGAGGGCTGAAAAAGACCAGCCAGATAGGGGAAGGAGAGGTATGGGCAGGGCTGTTAGGACGCCTGTGTATGTATAGGAGCCCGGTAAAACCAATCTGAGTTAGGAAACACTTTCATTTTCTCTCTTCTGGCTGTCAGTGTGGAACAGGGAGCCAGGATATGTGTCTCTCCAAATTACCTCTCTTCTCCTCCCACGTCTGGTTCTCTCCTCTTCTTTGTTTTCTGTTTCTGATTCCTTCTCTGCCCTGTCTCCACGTCCCCCCCGCCAAGGGTCTTTCTCCCTGGAGCTCGCTAGCTCTGCTTCCGTTCCTTTCTCCCTCCCACCTCCACAAGTGAATGACAGCTGCCCGGGACGGTTTCCATAGTAACCCAGCTAGCTAGCCCTAGATGAAGCTGCCACCTTCCTGATTACTAGGGAGTTGTGCATTCACCAAGGGGCAGAGCTGGGCGCACATGGGACGGTGTCTTCCCTCACACGCATGACAGTGAAGGACAGGGCAATCCCGGAGGCCAGGGACTCGGCTGAGGTGGTGTCTCCGCCCACAGGGGACCGGAAGCTGTTTGTGGGGATGCTGAACAAGCAGCAGTCCGAGGAGGATGTGCTGCGGCTGTTCCAGCCCTTCGGGGTCATCGACGAATGCACTGTGCTCAGGGGGCCTGATGGCAGCAGCAAAGGTGACAGGCGGGTGGGGCGGGGCCGCTTGAGGGGCGGGGCCTTCCGGGGCGGAGATAGGCCTTGCTGGGGCGGGGCCAGCGGAGGAGCCAGTTGGTGGGCGTGTCTCTAGGGGTGGGGCATGGGCGGGGCCTCGTGAGAGGCGGGGCGGTCTGTGGGTGGGACTTGATGGTGGGCGCAGCCATAAGGAAGGTGAGAGGCTGGAAGAGTGGGCGGCTGCGTGGGGCTGGCTCCCGAGGAGCAGAGGGGGCTGTGAGTTGCACGATTGTTCTTCTACCTGGCTCTAACTAGGAATCCATTTCATTGGGATCTGCCAGTCTGTCTCTGAGTGTCCTGTCTGGGTTTTACTGTGTCCTGCCTGCCTTTTTTTTTTTTTGTCTTTTGTAGACAGGGTCTCACTATGCTGTTCAGGCTGGCCTTGAGCTCACTTTGTACCCCAGGCTGGTCTCAGACTCTCAGCGATCCTCCTCCTGCCTCAGCCTCCCAAGTACTGGGATTACAAGCATGTGCCACATCCTGCTTGTCCTGCCATCTGTCTACTTGATTTCTTTCTTTTTTTTTTTTTTTTTTTGTCGTTGTTGGCGGAGCTGGGGATTGAACTCAGACCCTTGCACTTGCCAGGCACGCGCTCTTTCTATTGAGCCCCGGCCCCCTGTCTACTCGATTTCTGCCTCTGCCCTTGCCGTGCCTTCCTAGGACTGACTGGTCCAGTGCCCTCTGCGTGCCTGATAATGTTTTATTTTTCTGAGACAGGATTTCATTTTGTAGTTCAGGCTGGTCTTGAACTCACTATGCAGTCCAGGCTGGCCTTGAATTCACAGTGAGTCTCCTGTCTCCGCCCTTCTAAGCACTGAGATTACGGTCATGCACCACCACACCCAGCTTGTGCCTGACCCTTTGATACCTAATCTATATACTGTGATGTTCACTCTGTCTCACTCTATGAAGGAATGCTTCTTAGTCTGGCATATGACTGATTCCAGAACAGTTTGCCGCCACCACAGCTGCCCCACGTGCCAGGGGACCCTGGAGCTGGGTGGGCGGGCTGTGCCCTGCAGCCTCTGTCCTCATGGCTGGGCTGTGGCATTCTCCTGTATTTAGTGTTCTCTGGTTGTCTATCCGCCTGATGTTGCCCGTGTGACAGCTCAGTCTTCTTGGCAAGGCGGTTTGTGATCCCCACGCGTGGCTGTCCACAGGACGGTGGTTCTGTGGCTGTGTGATGGTGGCGTGTGGTTTGCATCCTGCGTATCCGCTCACTCTGCCTGGCCTGAGCGGGGCTCTGGAGGGTGGGTGTTCTCCATATCCGACCCCTTGATTGTTTTGAGGACATGACTCCTCTCTGATGGGCCTTGCCTGGCCCTGTCCACTCAAGTGTGTGTCTGCAGACTACTGGGCAGCTATCTGTCCACCAGGGCTGAGTGGCTGGCGGGGTGGATGTTGCTGGCCACAGTGGCTCCAGCGCTGCTGGCCTGGGTGGCATCCCACCGACTGACCCTAGGTCTGTCTGGCCGTCCAGCTGACTGCTCCTGGCGCCCGGCTGTCTATCTCTCTGACTTCGTTGTCTGGTCATCCTGTCCCCCTCTTGCCCTTCGGCCCCTCGCCCTCACTTCCTCTCCTCTCGGCGCAGGCTGTGCCTTTGTGAAGTTCTCCTCCCACACGGAGGCGCAGGCGGCCATCCACGCCCTGCACGGCAGCCAGACCATGCCGGTGAGTGGGAGCTGCTCAGGCCACAGCTCAGGGTGTGGGACAGAGGGAGGGGGACAGGGACAAAACGGGCCCTCAGTGTGCCCTGCCACTGCAGCCGCCAGCCCTCAGCTCTTGGCTGCTCTCCCAAGAGGTGCAGACCCTGGCTGTAGGATATGTGTGTGTGTGTGTGTGTGTGTGTGTGTGTACATGTATGTGCTTGCCTCTGTGTATGGTGTGTGTGTGCACGGGTGTGTTGCAGGTATGTGAGAGGATTGTGTACATATGTGTGTGATGAGCAGCAGGTGTGTGCTGTCGGAGTGCTGTGTGCACACAGGCAGGTACAAACATGCAGAGCCATGTGTGCAAGGGTATGTTAGTTTACACAGACTTGTGTGTTGGTGTAGGCTGGTGCTCCTGCATGTTGATACGTGACTGTGTACATTTGCATGTGTGAGTGCCCCTGGAAGATGGGGCCAGGCCATGTGCACATGCCCCTTTGGGCCGAAGGAGGGGATGGGCAAGGGTCAAAACTGGCAGCTGGACACAGAGAGAAGGACTGGCACATAAGGTGGGAGGGCAGGCTGGGGGAGAGGAGAGACCAGGACTCAGAGGTCTGTAGTAGCGCGGGGCTCCAAGGGTCATGGAGGTATTCCCCCTGAGGAAGGGGCCCCAAGAGCTGCTGTGGTCACACAGTGTCCTGCAGGGAGCGAGCTCCCTTTCTGAGGGGTCTGGCAGCAAAGGCAAGCTGCAGAGCACACTGGGACAAACCTGCCTGAAGCCAGAGACATCCCTTCCCTCAGGCCCAAGTCAGGGTGCTAACCGCATGTGTGCCCACCAAGCAGGGGCCACCTGCCACCTGCCAGCACCTCCTCATTCATACTGTGGCCCAGGCTATTGTGGGTCTGCTCTAGGAGGGTTGGGAGGACCCCAGAGTCCTGGCTACCTCCTGCCCCTCTCTCCTGCCGGGCCTCCCGCTGCCCCACAGGGAGCCTCTTCCAGCTTGGTGGTCAAGTTCGCAGACACAGACAAGGAACGCACCCTCCGGCGCATGCAGCAGATGGTGGGCCAGCTGGGCATCCTGACGCCGTCCCTCGCCCTGCCCTTCAGCCCCTACAGTGCCTACGCCCAGGCTGTGAGTGACCCGATGTGCGCCCCGCGTGTGCCGGTTCCCGAGCCTGCATGGGGACCCGGCTTATCTCGCCCGTCCATGCCCTGCCAAGGGCTTCCGATTCTTTGCCTCTTTCTGCCTCTTGCTCCATCTGACTCAGAGCCTGTGCTGGCTGTGGGTGGCCCCCAAGTCCAAGCTGAACTGAGCCCTGAACCCAGGCTGAAACTGCAGCTAAGGACAGGCATGATCACAGGCTCAGCTCCACCTCCAAGACCAAATGCAGACGGAGCCCCTAATCTACGCAGTGCCCTTAGTATATTCTCAACCCTAGACTCAAATTAAGACTGAGCCTTGGGCTGTGTGTGGTGGCGCACACCTGTAATCCCAGTACTGGGGAGGCTGAGGCAGGAGGACCATTGTGAGTTTGAGACTAGCCTGGGCTATAAAGTGAGCTCAAGGCCAGCCTGAACTGCATAGCGAGACCCTGTCTAAAAAACAAAAAACTGGGGCTGGAGAGACGGCTCAGTGGTCTAAAGCACCTACTTGAAACAAGCTTGGCAAAGCACAGGGACCGTGGTTCGATCCCCAGCACCACATGCCAGCCAGCCCCGCCCCCTGGTGGGCTGAGCTGGCCACACACACACACACACACAGTAAATAAATGTAATAAAAATAAATAAATATTTTAAAAAAAAATAAAAAACTAAAAACTAAACAAACAAAAAACCAAAAAACTCCACCTTGGACCGAACTCTGATGTTGGCTGTCCCCAAATTTATTTATTTATTTATTTTTAAACATTTATTTATTTATTTATTTTGTGTGTGGCCAGCTCAGCCCACCAGGGGGCGGGGCTGGCTGGCATGTGGTGCTGGGGGATTGAACCGTGATCCCTGTGCTTTGCTTAGCATAGCTTGTTCTAAGTAGGTGCTTTAGACCACTGAGCCATCTCACCAGCCCTGTCCCCAAATTTAGATTCTAGTCAATTCTGAGCTGAACCTCCAAATTCAGGCTGGTCCCAAATTGAGCTCTGACCTGGCTGAGCCCTGGTTCAGGCTGAACCTCAGTTTCTAATTGAGTACTAAAAGTAGACTGAAGGGGCCAGGGAGATGGCTCAGTAGAGTAAGCACTTCCCTGGCAAGCACAAGGGCCTGAGTTCAATCCCCGGTTCTGCCAAAAAAATAAATAAATAAAAGTAGACTGAGCCCTGATCCTAGACTGGAACTGTTCTTTATTTTGAAGGTTTTTTTTTTTTTTTAATCGCACTTAGGACCTCATGTTCACCAGGCAGGCACTATGTTGCTCAGCTTTATTTATTTATTTATTTAGCGGAACTGGGGATTGAACTCAGGCCCTTGTGCTTGCCAGGGAAGTGCTTATTCTACTGAACTATCTCCCCGGCCCTGTTGCTCAGCTTTATCCCTAGCAGGACCTCTGTTTTTCACTGAGCCCTAAATTTAAGCTGTGATCTTAGGCTGGGGATCCCAGGCAAGGTTCCAATTTCTGACTGAGCCTGATGCCAGACCAAGTCCTGACCTGAACCCCAGTTTCTTCTTTTTTTTTTTTTATTGGTGGAACCAGGAATTGAACTCAGACCCTTGCACTTGCCAGGGAAGTGCTTATTCTATTGAGCCATCTCCCCAGCCCCTCTGAACCCCAGTTTCTAAATGAACCCTAAAGCTGTACTGAGCCTTGAGCCCAGGCCGAACCTTGATTCCACGCTGAGCACTCAAGTCCTGACTGAGCTCGGCTCCTAGTTTGAAACTCAGTTTCTAAATGAACCCCATTCCTGCCTAAGGTAAGATAACCAGTATGACCCTCCATGCCTCTAGTGATTGGGGACCCACAGCCTTTGAGTGGTGGCCTCAGGGCAGACTGCACCCACTGACACCCTGTCCTCCCCCAGCTCATGCAGCAGCAGACGACGGTCCTGTCCACCTCAGGCAGCTACTTGAGCCCTGGTGTGGCCTTCTCTCCCTGCCACATCCAGCAAATTGGCGCAGTCAGCCTTAACGGGCTGCCCGCCACGCCCATTGCCCCTGCCTCTGGTGAGCAGCTGAAGGGTCTAAGGTGGTGGTGGGGCCCCGTGCAGCGGCCAAGGCTTGCCTGACTCCTTCCCCTCCACAGGACTGCACTCACCCCCACTGCTTGGCACTGCCGCCATGCCCGGCCTCGTGGCGCCCATCACCAATGGCTTCGCTGGTGTTGTGCCCTTCCCAGGAGGGCACCCTGCCCTGGAGACCGTGTATGCCAATGGCCTGGTGCCCTACCCAGGTAACTGCAGTGGTCCCTGAGAGTGTCCCCACCATAGTGCTGGCACTAGATGGGCTGCCTCAGGTTGCTGTTCTGCAGAATGAGGCAAATAACAGTCATCTCGTCTTGAGGCTGCTTTGACAATGACATGAGGATGCAGGTGTCGACCTCACCTGTGACACAGAACATCACCGTAGATCTTAATTATTCATGGCTAGTGCCGGGCAGTTCCCAGCGCCTCCACTAGCTGCTCATTCCCTTGCTCACGCAGTAAATACTAATGAGGCTCTGCTGTGGACTGTCCTCTGCCCTCCTGCATCAGATATGCCCTGACTTCTCCCCCATGTCTGTGATTTTAAGGACCAACATCTTCTAAAACCTTCCGTGAATTAAGTCATTTTTGCTATGGAGAAGTTGGTTTTAACTTTTTTTAAATTTTGAAATGAATGGATGCAGTGGCATATCATCAAAGCTAGGACACTGACATTGGTGTGGTAGGATTAACTCAGGTATTATTCAGATCGTACATGGGCCAGAAGTACTCAGTGTGTGTGTGTGTGTGTGTGTGTGTGTGTGTGTTTCTATGCCCTTTCGTCGCAAACAGATTTTTTTCCCCATACTTTTATTGAGAAACATATAGCAATGAGACAAACAGATTTTTTACAACCATTACAATCAAGACAAAATGCAGCCAGGCATAGCGATACAAGCCTATAATTCCAGGAATCTGGGAGGCTGAGGCAGAAAGATCACAAGTTTGAGCCCAGCCTGGGCAATGTAGTAATCAGTGAGACCCTGTTTCAAAATAAGAAATAAAACATCGTTGGCCATATAGCTCAGTACAAAGGCCCTGGGTTCAATGCCCAGTAATCCTCCCCCAAGGATAGAAAACTGTTTCATGACCCCTGTCCTCTAGTAACCCTCCACTGGAGCAGTGCTCAGACTGAATTCTTCCTTGCACTGTCCAGTTTTAACAGCCTGGGCAACCCCTCCCCTCCCCTCTGTTCCCCTTTCCCCTGGTGGCGGCTGTGGGCCTGCGTGGCTTCAGTGGGCAAACTGGGAAAAAGGCGCAGGGCTGATAGTGACTGGGGCCAGGCCGAGGTCTTGGAGAGTCCAGAGAATACGGGGAATGGTGGGGGGGGGAGTGAAAGGTCCCACTGGGAAAAGACGGGTCAGGATAGGGACGGATAGGGTCCGAGAAACCTGAGCTCTAGCCCAGTTCCTCCCCTTTCCTATCTCACCGATCCCGTGAGGGCTTCACCCTCTCTGAGTCTCACTCTGCTAGCCTGTAAAATTGAGGTTTCCCACTCTGGTTGTCAAAGGTGGGAGTGGACAGAAGACTTCTGCCGCCCCCGCCCCACCCAGCTCTGTCTGTCCCGCAGCTCAGAGCCCCACAGTGGCCGAGACGCTCCATCCTGCCTTCTCCGGAGTTCAGCAGTACACAGGTACGTAGCTATCCTGGCCCCGCCCCTAGAGCCCCGCCCATTAGCCCCGCCCATCCGATACGCTCTTCCTGCCTGACCACGCCTACCGTAGCCCCGCCTAAGTCTGGTCACAGCCTTGGCTTCCTCCTCTTGTGCCCATCCCGGCCCTAACTCTATCCCCGACTACTCTGGACTCATCCCCTGTTTAACACCCAACGACCCAAAGCTGGACCTGTCTCTGAAGGTCTGGTCCTACCCTCTTTATCTTCTTGCTCGGCAGTCTGATGGGGCGGCCTCACCTCTGGCCCTGCCCCAATCCCAGCGCTTGGCCCCGCCTCTTCCTCCGCCCTCCTCCAGCACCTGGGCCCGCCACTCACGCCCCATCTTGACTGACAGAATATCTGAATAAGCCCCGCCCCCACTCCAGTACTCCTGAGCTCTGCCCTGGGCCCACCCTGCGCTATGGCCCCGCCCTCAGCCTTTCGTCCTGCCTCCTCTTATATAGGGCCTTGGCCCTATTTGCTGCTCTGTGGCCTGGACCCCGGAGTCTTGAACCACAGCTCCGCCCCACCCCGTCTTCCGTGTGTCCTCGTCCTTGCCTCTTGCTGTAGCCCCGCCCCACTCCCTTGAGTTATGGTCCCACCCCTTCCTCTGGCCTTGGCCCCGCCCCTCGAGCTGTGGCCCCGCCCCTCCCCTGCGTTTAGCCTGGCTCCCAACTCGTGGCCCCAGCCGCCCTCACGCCCAGCCGTGCGCGCTGTCTGTCGGTCTCCGCAGCCATGTACCCTACCGCGGCCATCACGCCCATCGCGCACAGCGTCCCGCAGCCGCCGCCCCTCCTGCAGCAGCAGCAGCGAGAAGGTGAGGTGACCGTGACCTCCCCGGGGCCAGCCCCGCCCCCTGACCTCCACCTGCGACTCCCGGACCAAGCCTGGCCCAGGGTGTCCTCAGGCCACACAGTCGCATCTCTGAGCCTCAGTTTCCCCCCCCGGACGAGGGGAGCCACACGTGCCCGAACCCATGCGGTAACAGTGGCTGCCTCCAGGCCTCTCCGGAAGCTCGTGGTTCTCTGCAGTGTTGGTGGGAAACCTCTTCTGGAAATTGGGACAGGTCGTGTGTGATTAGGTCTCTCTGATAAACTGAGGCCTCCCCAGGAAAGCCAGGGATGGAGGGAGGAGTTAGATTCTGAATTCTGATCTCGAGGTTCATGTTCACCCACCCCTGACATGTGACACTTATACAACTGGCCCACCCCTCAGCATCCCCCTCTTGACTTGAGCATCAATCTGGGCCTGGAGGTGTCACTGGGATATGAGTAGTGACTTTTCCTGGCACCCGGGGTGTCCTGGGAGGAGACCAGCCAGAGAAGCCAGACCCGCCACAGCAAAGGGCTGTGCCACTGGGCTGCTCCTCTGTCCTGCATCACAGTGTGTCCCCAGGAGGCTCTGTGCTAAAGCCACCAGCTGCAACAGTATCAAGAGTTTGTATGAGTCAGTATCCCACCAAGGGTGCTGGGAAAGGCATGTCATACCTGCACTTGGGAGTGAGGCCAGCTTGGGCTATGCCAAAGTTCAAGGCTGGCCTGAATTACACTGCAAGACTGTCTCAAAACTGTCAAAGCCAAAACCAAAACACTCTCAGGTAGACATTTGAGACGCATGTGCTGGCGCATGTGCTGGCGTGCACCTGTTTTCTTAGAAGGGTTAACCAGGTGCAATTATCTGCCTTCACCCAGTGCTGTTTCTTAGGCAATGAAGGAGACAAAATGACACAAACAAGTGCAAAACTCCAGTTCTGCTCAAAATTGTCATTGGAGGCCTGGGGAGATAGCAGTCTAAGCACCTGCCTGGCAAGTGCAAGGACCTGGGTTCGATCTCCAGTACCACATGCTGTGTTGGTACCCATCACCGTGCACTGGGCTGGCCGCAGAAACTGGGTGTGCTGGTGCATGCCTTAATCCCAGCACTGGGGAGGCTGAGACAGGAGGATCACTATCACTGCCAGTGGGAGCTGCATAGCGAGACCCTGTACCAAATAAACAAAGATTAAAAATAGAAGAGATTGTCACTGGAACAAAGTGTATTTTACAAACAAGTGTTAGTGGAGAGCTATACTCCTGCGTAGAAGGGAGGGCTCGGTCCACGTGTGATCTCAGTATTTTCTTTGAGGGGCCATGTTCATTGCTGAAAGAGGGTTACGATTCTTTGGGGGCTCATGCATCGGGTGGTCTTTGGAGATGAGATTGACAGCTGCAGATATGGGGGACTGTTTATGGTCAGATAATCAGGGTTTTTAAATGCTATTACTGTATTATTTATAGTTTTTATATTATTCATCCACTGGGGATTATTTGAGTTTGAGATGATTTTGAGGATTAAGTGTGACCTTTTAAAAATATGTTATGTCACTGTTTAATTACCTATGGTTTCAGGACAGGAAAATTCTTTTTTTTTTTTTGTCTTTTGTCTTTTGTCTTTTGTCTTTTTGAGACAGGGTCTCACTATACAGTTCAGACTGGCCTTGAGCTCAGTTTGTAGCTCAAACTGGCCTGCAGCCCTCAATGATCCTCCTGCCTCAGCCTCCCCAGTTCTGGGATTACAGGTGTGCAGCGGCCGGGGAGATGGCTCAGTGGAATAAGCGCTTCCCTGGCAAGCACAAGGGCCTGAGTTCAATCCCCAGTTCTGCCAAAAATAAAATAAAATAAAAATGTTCACCTCCTACAGGTGTGCAGCACCACACCTGGCTTTTTTTTTTTAAATGTATTTAGTACAGAGTCTACAGGGTCTCACTACATAGATCGGACTTGTAGTGATCCTCCTGTTTTGAGCCTCCCAAGCGCTGGGACTACAGACAGGTGCCACCACACCCATTCTGAATCTCTGTCTCAACTCGTCCTCGGGGTGGGACTGGCACACCTCGCTGGGTGATCGAACCCTGGTCCTGTGTCTCCTATACAGGCGCTTTAATCTGCTGAGCTATCTGGTTGGCTTCATACCCAGCTTTTGGAAAATTATCTTTTTTATTTTCAACTAATTTTCCTTTTGGGGAGTTGTACAGATAAGATAGTCTGTATAGTTCAGGCTGGCCTTGAACTCATTGAAGATCCTCCTGCCTCAGCCTCCTGAGTGCTGAGATCACAGGCACATGTCACTCACCGAGCTCTGGACTGCTTTTTTTTTTTTTTTTAATTTGTGTGTGTGTGTGTGTGGCCAGCTCAGCCCACCAGGGGGTGGGGCTGGCTGGTATGTGGTGCTGGGGGATTGAACCTCAGTCCCCATGCTTTGCTGAGCTTGTTCTAAGTAGGTGCTTTAGACCACTGAGCCATCTCACCAGCCCATGGACTGCTTTTAAGTGACAGTTTTAATATGGTTCTAGAATTACAAAATGTATGCAAAGATACCACAAGTTTGTGTATTTCTCACATGTAGTTTCTCTAACTTCTATAAATGAGCTGGAATTTGTGGTTTAGAAATGGATTTTCCTGGGAACTTGGTGTCATCTGTGGGGTTGACATTATCATGGGTGTTGCGTGGAGGATTTAGCTGGGTGCTGGTGCCTTTTGCCTAGTCACAGGCTTGAGAATTATTAGCAGCAGGTAGGATTGTATCAGACCGGAAGGCAGGGATGACAGCCCCGCCTCCTTCCCACCTGTGTCCCTACGGGTCCCTGCTGGGGTCCCAGGAAGCCCGATTCCCTCCAGCTGGCAATCAGGGTGAGGCTCCGCACCACGCCCCTCCCGGGGCTCTGCCTCCTCTCCTTGGGGGCTTTATGTCTTTCTCTCCCCCACCTGCAGGTCCCGAAGGCTGTAACCTGTTTATCTACCACCTCCCCCAGGAGTTTGGAGACACGGAGCTGACCCAGATGTTCCTGCCCTTCGGCAATATCATCTCCTCCAAGGTCTTTATGGATCGGGCTACCAACCAGAGCAAGTGTTTCGGTAAGTCCTCTGGAACGTGCACGTGCTGAACACCTGCTGTATACCCAGCAGTTCCTGTACAGCGTTTCTAAGACTCATCTGTCCGGGCCCTAGTTCATTGCACATGCAGTGCCCTGGGCCCCCCTTCCATGTCCCCTTCCAGAAGGATGGGGGAGTTGAAAAGGAAAGGCCACCCATCTTCTGAGACGCAGCTTGCTCAATTATGTAATGGGGCAGTTAGAGGTGACAGTAAAGATGCAGCCATCGGAGCCTTGTTGCCAGCTCTAGATTCACCGGTAGCCCCGCTGGGCCCTGCTGTGCAGGTGGGACCCATGCGCAGAGGTACAGAAAGCAGGAGAGGAATTAGTGACAAGAACATACCCATGCGCAGTCAGGTGGGAAGGCAGGATGTACTGCAGAGTTCTCAGACAAGACAGCCCTGCTGTCTCCCATGCTGGGTGAGGCGGCTTGTCAGACCAGATAAGGAGTGAGCACCCTGTCCCCAAGTGCATACAAGCCCAAAGTGTCAGCACAGAGCCAGGGCTGCTGCCGTGTGTTCTCTGGCAAGTCCGCCTGCCCCCCCCCCCAGGACCCCGCAAGCAGCGGACGCCCCCGGCACCCACCATCGCGGTCCACCCCGGTCTCTGCAGGATTCGTGAGCTTTGACAACCCGGCCAGCGCACAGACCGCCATCCAGGCAATGAACGGCTTCCAGATCGGCATGAAAAGGCTCAAAGTACAGCTGAAGCGGCCCAAAGACCTGGGACACCCCTACTGACCGTGCCACAGCTGCCCTGAGGCTGCGGGCCTGGCCCAGGTGAGCCGCCAGGCGGCCCCACGCCCCGCCCAGCCCTGGTTTTGTCCATACCCCACCCCTACCCCTTGCTTATTTTCCAAACCCTTCTTGGGTTTGGTTGGGTTGGCAGGGACGGTGCTGGACAAAGACACCCCCAATAACTGTGGTTGGGGCTGGAAAGGAGGCCGGGGTGAGGGTGGGAAGGTGGGGGAGAAGCTGGGGTTTCCCACTGCGGGTGGCTAGGCAAATCCTTCCTGGAGAAGGTTTTAAGGGATGAATAGGAGTTTATTGGAAAAGGCAGGTTTGGCCTGGGATGGAGGGTACATTAGGGAGGGGCTTCTTCTGTCCTGTGACTCTGTTGTCCCTACTGAAAGGCCCCTAGACCAAAGGGGAAAATGTTAAATGTGCACCTCAGACCCTGCCCCTTGTGTAGGACCCAGCTCACCTTGGAACCACGGCTGGAGCCTGGGGGGGTGCAGGCCCTTGATGGCCTCCTGCCCTTGTCTTCTACTGCACCAGCCCCAGCTTCCTCTAGGGTAATCCATCCCCACTGGGTTGATCCTTCTAATAATCATGCAAAAAAAAAAAAAAAAAAAAAAAACCAACCCCATGAGCACACAAAACCTACAAGTTTATTTTCCATCAGAACAAAGAACTTTATCATGTTCCTTTGGGGACCAAGTGGTAACCCCAAGAGGCCGCTGTGTAATCATAACCCTGACCCCCAACTCCAGGGGCACTACCTATAAAGTGGGTTTGTGGAAAGCCTGTGGGACAGAGGGGGCTTCTCCCAGCTAAGCCCAGAATCCGCCACTGAAAAGACTCTGGATTATTCATTTTTCTTTTTTGTAATTTTTAAAAATCACCACGGCTGTTGTATGAAAGAGCCTCACGATGGCCTGGCGCACAGTAGGTACACAGTTAGTGTTGCTCAGTGTCCTGCCCTTTGAGCTGTGGGGAGGTCCCCAGCGGAGGCTGTCAACCGGTCACCAAATCCAGGGTAGTGGGCTGCATCCGCCCGCTTCTAATTCCTGACCCCCTACTGTCCCCAGCTCTTGAGGAGCAGGATTTGAACAACAAAAGAAGAAAAAGAATGGGGGCATGGAAGGGGCCTAAATGACCTGCCTGGAGTTCCAGTGACAAAGTCTAGGGCCCAAGAGGCAGGCACAAGCTTAGGGCTTGAAGTCCTTTCAGAGCCTGGGGGCTCAGCCACAGAACCCTGAGATTTTGCTTTTTTGGAAAACATAGGGAGCCTTTGGGTCCTCAGACCCCAGCCTGGCCCGGGGCACAGAGGCTGGGGCAGTAAGGGGTCATGTTCCTCCTATGACCCCCCCCATGCCCATCCCTTCTCCCAGGTCAGGGGCTCCCTCCCCAGGAAGGGTGTCCAGTTTCCACCTGCCCAGGATTGTCCCCTAAGTCACAGCTGTGTTCCAACACCAGCCCTGCTCCTCCCCCTTGTTCCCTATTCACCCCAAAAATGTGAACCACTCCTCAGAACCAAGTGGGGAGCTCCGTGGTCTGTCTGGGTAGAGGGACAAGGTCCCCTGTGTTGGGCTGAAGAATTCATACACTGCCACCCCCACCTTCCACTTGGGGACGTTTCTTCTTCCCTTCTCCCCCTCACCTCACATGGTGGCTCCCCATCCACGAAATCACGACTTTCCCTATATATATGTGCATATAGAGAGAGCTAGAGACAGTATATATATATATATATTTTTGAGTAGAGATCATGGGGCCAAACTTTTCCGACTTCCTGACATCCGCGAGTGGTGGCCCTGAGCCGGTCACTTGGAGGGGACAAGGCCGGCAGCACCGCGACCCTGCGGGGTGTCAGGCCAGGTCGCGCCCACAGAGACCTCCGGGACGCTCGCTGTCCGCCGCGGCCCCGGGGCCTGCCTTCTCCACGCGGCATGAAGGCCTCCAGCGCCTCCCAGTCCTTCCGTCCCCAGCCCTCTGTCATAGCCTTATTCGAGTGACCAATAGCCCTTAGCTTTCCGTTGGGGGGACAGCCGGGGTGGGGTGTCACCCCCCAGCCCTCACTGTCCCCTCCCTAGGGCAGGCAGCCGTCGTCCCTGCCGTCGAATCACCAGCCTCCAATTTAAGGTCTTGTAACCAAGATTGCCAAACGTTTGGGTCCAAGACTACCCCCCAAGCCCCTTTGTGGGGAGACGGACCGTGAAGGGACCTTTCTTACCTCTGCAGAGATTTTTCTTGTTTTGTTTTGGGTCTTTCTGAGCAGGTACAAAAAAGAAAAGAGAAGAAGCAATGGGGGGAAAAACAAAACAGGGAGGGGGAATAATCACGTGACAATGACTTTTTGTTTCCTAGCTGGGGTGGGGGGAGGGGGCCGGGGTGGGGGTGGGGGGCACCCCTGTTTAGCTGCCCGACCAACCGCGACACCCACACCCGGAGAAAGCACAGTGTCCAGGTCGCCCGGACGCCGTCCAGCCTCGGCCGCTCGCCCAGCGAGGCACTGGACAACTCTACATATGCTCCGAAAAAAAAAAAAAAAACAAGAAAAAAAAATTTAAAAAGAAAAAGGAAAAACAAAACAAAAAAAGAGCTCCTTTTTGTTTCTACCAAAAATGTGTTGTCTGACCCAGAAAAGAAACAAACAAAAACCCAACACATTGCAAAAAAAAAGGAAAAAGGAAAAGAAAAAGGAAAAGGAAAAGAAATTCTCCCAACCGACTTTTGCAGCTCCAGAGTTTGATAATTGTTCGAGACGCTCCTCTCGCGTATGTCCCTGTGTCCTGTCGTCTCCGTGTGCCAAGGGGACCTCTCTGAGGGCCCTTCCGTGTCCCCGCGGGCCGCTGGGGAGCACGGACTGTTCCTCTCCATGTTTACTGGCTGTAAATACCATTTTTTATACTCCACGTCGAGGACTCGTGATTTGTACGATGTAGTTTATTTCTGCTACAAGTAACTTACAAACTGACTTTTGGAGACCAAGCCCCCCCTACACACACACACACACACACACACACACACACACACACACACACAGAGGCAAGAAAGAAAAAGGGTGAAGAGAGAATTTGGGGTTGACTTGGTTTGAATTTTGTGTCAAAGCAGATTTCTCTGCCTAGTTCGCTGTTCAGGTCAGAAGCGGCAAGTGTCGTCCTAAAGTCCCAAATGCCTCTCTTTGGTCTGAAAAAAAAAAAAAAAAAAGATGAAGAAGAAAAAAAAAAAAGAAAAAAAAACACTAAAAATTTATTTAATAAAAGTTTTACTTGCTAAAGGGCTGGCTCTTGCCTTATTTTCCTTTTCTCATGGCTAAGGGCCAAGTATATTATATTTAATCCCCTCTGGCATCCAGGCTAGAAGGAACTCGAGATTTAGGGTTAGCAGGATGTGGCAGGAGAGATTTCCAAGCAGAAAGTTGAAAGGCCCTCTATTAGTAGAGTATGGTGGCGCATGCCTATAATCCCAGCACTTGGGAGGCTGAGGCAGGAGGATCCTTGCAAGTTTAAGACCAGCCTGGGCTACAAAGTGAGCTCAAGGCCAACCTGAGCTGCACAATGAGAACCTGTCTCAAAGTGGGGCTGGGGAGATAGCTTGGCGGTCTAAGCACTTGCCTGGCGAGCTCAAGGACCGGAGTTTGGTCCCTGGTACCACATTTTGTGTGGGCTGAAAGCGGGTGTGGTGGTGCATGCCTGTAATCCCAGCTTTGGGGGAGGCTGAGACAGAAGGATCACTGTCTGAGCTGCGTAGCGATACCCTGTATCAAATAAATAAAATAAAAAGACCCCCAAAAATCTGTATTTTGGATTTGGTCTGATTAGCCTGGATGTTGAAATTTGTGGGGGTTTTTGTTGTTGTTTTGTTTTGTATAGGGTCTCACTACACAGCTTGAACTCCTAGTGATCCTTCTGTTTTCAGCTGTCTGGGTGTTGGGATTACAGGCATGTACCTCCACGCCTGGACACTGTCCCAGGCTCAGCATGTCTGGGGGCCAGGACTGTGCAGCATGCGATACCAGGAATTGAACCTTGGTTCCTGCACTTGCCTAAGCAGGTGCTTAGTCCACTGAACTATCTTGCCAGCCCTACCTTTGTTTACTCACTCAACACATGCTTATTGGATATGGACAGTGTTTGTCCTCTGGGCAGGCGGGTAGTGACGAGACAGATTGTGTCTGTCCTCAGAGAGACACTATCCAAAGAATCATACCATTTTGAAAAATAGACATAAAGCTCCCATGATATTGGATTTATCATCATAACCATTTTTTGGTTTAAGTTTTTTGAGACGGGGTCTCACTGTGTAGTCCAGGATGGCTAAAATCTCTCAACTTCCTGAGCTACTTCCTGCCATGCCAGCAGTTTGGCCACAACACCATATTCTCATCTTGAAGATGTGACACAGGGCTGAACCGGGAAGAGGGCTTGGAAGGTGAATCACTGCTGCCGGGAAGGGTTTTCTGTGCCGAAGGGACCAGCGTGGGAAAAGGCTCAGAGGTCCTCGATGTCTGGGAGCCAGGAGTGACGGGCTGGGCTGGCTGGGTGGAGAGGGTGCTGAGGTCCACAAGGGCTAAAGACGGATTTTTGGTGCTAGGCACTACTGTGTGCCACATCCTACCCTGCCCTCCTGAGGCCAATGTCTAGGAGGAAAGTGAACAGAAAACAATCCACCCATCGATTCCAGAATTCACGAGGCTTCTAATCTAAGTAGGATTGGGCAAATCCAGACATTCTCTTTTTTTCTTTTTCTTTTTGGCGGAACCGGGATTGAACTCAGACCCTTGCGCTTGCCAGGGAAGCACTTATTCTACTGAGCCATCTCCCTGACCCCAGGACATTATCTTGAAGACAATAGGGAGCCATACAGGGCTTAGACGGGGGAAGGCTGCTCCAGTTATGTTAGGAAGATATCCAGGTGGGGCTGGTGCGATAGCTCAGTGGACTAAGTGCTTCCTTAGGCAAGCACAGGGGCGGGGGGGGGGGTTTGATCCCCGTCACCACATGCCTGCTGGCCCCACCCCGGTTGCACTGAGCTGGCCACTGAGATTTGGTGCGATGGTGCATGCCTATAATCCCAGCGTTGGGGAGGATGAAACAGGAGGATCACTAGGAGTCTGAGCTGTGTAGTGAGACCATGTACCAAATACATTTTTAAAAATTAAGATACCTGGGTGAGCTCCACAATGCTCAGGGGCCATACATGGGCCTGCCAGGAGGACAGGCGGGCAAGTTGATCTTAGCAAGTACTGACTAAGCACTCTGCATCTACCAAGTGCTGTTTTACCAACCTGTGTTGTGCAATAAGACAACAGATCTCACTCCTCGGCCACGCTGAGCTACCTGCCAAGGTCCCGCTGCAGCAGAGTTGGGCCAGGCGGCAGCAGCCTCTGCATTTCCTCCAGGGACTGACTTCGCCTGCCACAGCGCGTGAGAAGCCGGTATTAGCGATCTTCGTAGAGGCCGGGGCTGGGATCAGTGGTGAGCACTTTGTTCCCAGTACCACAGAATATAAAGATGAGAGTAGTAAATCAGGGCTCAGAGAGGGTGAATGCCAGGCCTGAAGGTGCACAGTAGGCGTCAATCCCAGCCTCAGGACTGATTACATGGATGTGGAGGCTAAAATTCAATGTGTTAGACTGAGAGTCAGGGTATGGTGTGTGACAGAGCGATCTCAGCTTGTAATTTTTTTTTTTTTGCGGAACCGGGGATTGAACTCAGGCACTTGCGCTTGCAAGGGAAGCACTTATTCCACTGAGCCATCTCCCCGGCCCCCAGTCTGAGCTTTTAAATGCTACTCATCAAGGTCAGGGAAATAGCTCAGAGGCAAAGTGCCTGCCTGGCAAGTCCAAGTTTCTCGGTTTGTTCCCCTGTTCCCCCCCCCAAAAAAAAGAAAAGAACAGAAAAAAAGGAATAAATGTTATTCATCAGATTTTTGTGTATATCTGAGATGTATCAACGAAAATCTAACAAGTGAAAAAACAAACCAAAATGTTATTCAACATTTTAAATAATGTGTCCTCCAAACACGGCAATCTCCCCTCTAAGTGCTTCTAACAAAAGTCACATACTCGTGATCCCAACACTCCAGAAGGCTGAGGCAGGAGGGTCACAGCGAGCTCACGGCCAGCCTGGGCTACCCGGTGAGTCCGAGGGCAGCCCAAATTACAGAGAGACCCTGTGGATTAGCTCAGTGATAGAAAGCTCGTCCAGTAAGCCAGAGGTCTTCAGTTCCGTCCTCGGTACCAACAAATTAAAACAAACAAACAAAAACAAAGAACACACACACACACACACACACACACACACACACACACAATGTAAAAAAGCATGATGATGTCTAAGTCTAGAATCAGACCATCCCAGCGTTTAAATCCTGGTCACGACTTTATCAGCACTGTGACCAATAGCTGGCTCCTCTTGTGGCTCAGTGTCCCCTTCTAGAAAATGAGACGAACAGATCAATCACTTCCCAGGGTTGCTATAGGTGAGCGGACGCGTTACTATGTAGCGTGAAACCCTTGCTGGCTGGGAGGACGCCTCAGAACAGCAGAGTTAATCAACTCTGAAAATTCACTTTCCAGAGGATTCACCCAAAGCCACCAGCAGGGGGCAGCAGAAAACCACTCCTGAACTCGGTAGCGGAGCCTTGGAAATGGTCTGGCGTCTTGTGGAGCGTAGAATACGCGCCCTGGGCTGGGGACTTGGGGAGCTAAGGAGAAACTGCCGTGGTTTCTATACTAGAATATGCACAAGCCCCACTTTTGCAGCTGGTCCCTGAAGCTTGCAGAGGTTCTCCTGTTGTCCCTTCATCTTCCCTCCCGGGGGCTCCTCCTGCCTCGGCCTTCCAGAGGACGGAAGCCAGGCGCTTGGGGTCCCATCGAGGACGGAATAGCATACGAACCCCGTTCCAGCATTTGCAGAACAACTCAAGAATTTTGCGTTCTTTCCCCATGGCCCTGGCTTCAGGTCTGTAAAATGGGGTTTAGGGGAGAATGTGCCATCTAGAGTTATTGTGCAGGTCAAAATTAATGAACGTGGGGCTGGAGAGATGGCTCAGTGGTCTAAAGCACCTACTTAGAACAAGCTTAGCAAAAAGCATTAGGGACCGCGGTTCAATCCCCCAGCACCACATGCCAGCCAGCCCCGCCCCCTGGTCTCTCTCTCTCTCTCTCTCTCTCTCTCTCTCTCTCTCTCTCTCTCTCTGTCTCTCTCTCAAATAAATAAATAAATAAATAAAATATATTAAAAAAATTAACATGAATTAGTGAGCATCATTCCTACA